TCTTCCATCACTGACGTTAAACCGGTTGCCGCACACTGTCCGGTGATCAATTTGGCCCGTCGTGACATTGCTGGCGACCAGGCCACCACAATGCGGGCATGCGTACTCATGCTGTTTCTTTGCTTGGACTTCACGGTACAACTTCTCGTCGCTGGCCGGCGTCTCCGTCTTGCGTTTCTTTTGTGTCCTTTCTGTTGTTTCTCCTTGTCTCGCCGTAATCTCGGCCCATGTCTCCGCCACCAGCCTCCGGCGACGCTCGAGCTCGGACCCGCTGGCCGTAGCATCGGCGGGGAGCGCCGGCAATTGATCGTGGACACGGTTCTGTGCGGCGCGGGCGCGGAGGCGCGCGAGTCTATGATTGGCGCGGCCGGCATAGCGACAGGCCACTTGCAAAGCTTTGCAACCGTTACACATTTGCCGGCCATCCTGCCCCGCAGTTCGTTTGGCCAGCCACGTGCTAAACTGGGAGGGTTCTTTACGTACGTAACAAGTGTGGCACTGCCACCAACCGCGTTGCTTGCGTGCACATGCGCGACAAACTCTTCGGTCCATATGGCGCGCTTTCCAGGCTGCCGCGCCAAAGGCAGTTTCCGCTTGCCGCACGCCGCAGTTGGCGCATTCTTTGCGCACCTCGCATGTCAGGCACACGCGATAATACGTACACAGTGGTCGATGGTACTTCTTCGGGAAATTTGCCTCTGCGTGCCAGACTTTACAATTATTACACTGCCATGGGGTGCCAGACGTGGCTTTGTCTTGGACGCATGCTCGACAGACACGTTCGTCATCGTTGCGTTTCCATTGGCCTCTGGTATAGGCGTCTTTTTGTTTGCGTTCTCGGCAGATGCAGCATCCGCGCTCTTCGCAGTACGCGTCCAGCAGCGCGCGCCAATTCACACTTTCCCCACGGAGTACTCGCAGGAGCAGCTCACGACCGATACCGACCCCGCGCTGGAAGAGCTTCGCGTGAAATGGCCGAAACAGCAGAAGTTTGTCTCGGCCTGGCACCCGTGTGAAGGCAACATATGCTGTGAAAGGGTTTCCGCTCAGGCCAATGTTTAGGTCCGTTGTGATCGTGGCTGTGGTTGCGTTTGTGCTTGAGTTCGTAGTTCGTTTGTTTGTGCTTCTGTATCGTGGCTCTCCTTCGTTGGTTCTGTACTCTGTTTTGTTTTTGTGGCTGCATGTTGTGCGTTTTGGCTGGCGGTTGAACACGACGCGCACGAGGAGGAGGACGAAGCGGAGGAGAAGGAGAAGAAAGGCAGCTCGCATAAAATCTAACAACCCTCACCTGACAGGTACGCCAAAAGACTCCTCCACCCGAACAAGTCTACGATTCGTCGCCGGTACCAACCCCAAGGAACTCAGTTGAGTCTAGTTCACCTTCGTGACCTTACGTGGGTTTCATGTCATCTGGAAATGGAGTAAATAAGACAGTGCTTGTGCAGCACGTCCCACTTATTCAGCGGGCGTCTTATTTACTCCATTTCCAGATGACATGAAACCACGACCCTTCTCCCCCTCGCTGGGGTCGGCGGCACGGGGCGTAGCCCTTACAATATACGCCCACCATACACTGGATGGATGTTCGGGATGAGCAGGAGAAGAACCTTGTGGTAACGTCGTCTGTTGTGATCCAGACTTGACTCTTCCCTTGTTTCTTCAAGGCAGGAAATGACGGAATGGAGCAGTCGCGCAAAGTTCTAATGACACGCAGCAACTCAGAGTTTATGGGGGCGTGAAAGAGGTGGAACATAGTGGGACATAGTGGGACACTTTCCATGTCGTCCTTGCTACGCTGCTACCCCTGGGTGGTTGCGGCATGTGTTCGCTGCTACGCTGGCAGTTCCGCTGGAAGTGCCGAGCGAACGAGCTCAGGCACCGCACCCTCTTTCGAAGCATTGCTCGCAAAGCGGATGTACCGCTACATGCCTCATACCGTAAGCCATGCGTTTCTTTCTCTTCGTTCGTTGCTGTGTCTTTGAAGATCTTTGCACGTCGAAGGTAGAGCCACCACGACTGACGAAACAAAACTGCAGCCATGATGCTTCCATGGCCAAGTCAAAGTGTTTGAGTGTCACCGCTGGCACATCCTTAGCTCCACAGAGCTAGCGTCACACCGTTAGCTAAACCGGCTCACCACCGCTTCACCATCTGCGCATCTGAGCCCCCCACAGCGGGTCCCAGCCCACGGAGGTCCGGCAACTCGCGAAGCACCTGCGTTCGAAGGTCCGCGGGAAGCTTCGATGGCCCACGTTCAGTGTTTGGATGGCGAGCTTTTTGGGAGCTTTTCGGTTCGAAGCTCTCTGAATCTTCAGAACCGCTCGCTTTTGTCTTTATGTGTCGTTTTTTTTCCGGAGCACTGAACGAAGAAGTGAACGTTTGGGTTGGATAGCCTGGTGGATCATGGTGGATGTGTCTTTCTCTGCGGACCGGGAAACATTGACCTTTGAATAGAACGTGTGAGCTCAAGAGCCTTCTACTGGTTGATGAACCGGGAAGAAACCTCTGATCTGGACAGACTGCTTCTTCTAGCGGATCATGTCAAAAGCCAAACATCATGTAGAGAAGCTTTTCACAAAGCTTCAATTGGACCAACAGGCAAAATTGACCATTGATGTGCTAGAGTTTGGGGTGCCAATCCTTTCAGTCTGGGGACATAAATCCTTTCGTCCTGTTCCAAAAGTGAGTTGTGAGACACTTCTCCCAGGACAACCATCAAGACTTCACCGTTCGTCGTGAGTTGTTTTGAAAACAGAAAAACTTTCTTGTTACTAGTGGCGATGGACTAGTCTAATAGCGATGGCCTCCACCTCGTAGCTTCTTGCTACTATTAGGTTGGAGTGGGCTGAACACGAAGAGCATGTCCGTCATTGGAGTCATGCGACTCACGAGTCACTGGGCACCCAACACGGTGACTACACGGCTCCTTTTCTCGCAATATTGCTTGGTTGTTCCAACGCTTCTCAAGACCCTAACCCCCTTCCAGATCTTTGTGGAATCGCAGCTAAGGTTCGGTTCGCAGGCTTGACATGCAGAGTCCCAAGTGGAGGGTCAAAGCTAGAGCACTCAAGGCAAGAGTAGGTGAGCACCCCCAAGTGTCGACGCTTCTGTTCGTATGTTTGTGCTCTGTCAGAAATTTGACAGTGGGCCTTGGAGGTTCTTCTGATGTGCAGGCATTGCCACTTTGCAACCGAACAATTGCCTCTCCTACTACCTTTCTAGAAAGGTTTGCAAACCGATGCATGTTGAGTGACGAAGCAGGGTGGCTTCGTCTTCGTCAGCCCAGACCAAGGCGTAAGGCATTGAGTGTTTTTTTGTGAAAGACTCTCTGAGGCAGGGGCCTTGCAGCTCTCGTGCAGCATGATTGGAACAGTCACCAAATAAATCGTCAGAAGATGAAACTCTTGAGGATGCAACTCCTTTGGGTCTTTCTTCACAGATTTGCTTTTCCCATCTTTTCCCCCTGTTTCATCTGAACGTCCCCGAAGAAAGCTGCGTGTGCAAAGGTCTGGGCTCTAAGCGGATTTCCGGCCCGATCTCTCCAGCTCGTCTGGCTGGTGAGCTCGACGGATTGGCCGACCGACCCGGGAAGGTGCCGATTCCGATGGGAACGACGAGTCGTATGAAGCTTCAAGTAGTATAGACTTGTTTGTGAAGGAGTGTCTAATTCATCTGTTCTTGCGACGACAGGCAACCACTGGAAATGTAGATGTTTTTTTGTGCGGTCCGGGGTCAGGAACTCAGCAAGAAAATAGTGAACATAGGTTGGGGTGTTCGTGCAACATGTGGAAAAAACAAAACAATCAAAAAGTGATTGCGGAGACATAGGAAAGCAAAGCATGGACAGGAAAATAGTGAGAAAATAGCAAGAAAATAGTGAGAAAATAGTAAGCATACTGACTGACATATTGTGAAACGCCTCCCGAAACGACACGTGACGTTTATATATTAGGTTTCGATTCTGGATTGCTTTTTTGATCACATTTTGGTCACCTTTTTTTGCTTTCTTCTTGCTTTTGGTATCCAAATATTTCAATAAAATCACCTTTGGATCGCTTTCTGCTTTTCCGCTCACTGTTTTTTGACTTGTCCCCTATCCTGCACTCTGAGATTGCTTTTCGTTTGCTCCAACTCCTACTCCGAAATGACTAAAAAAGTTATTTTGGCAACCCTCAGCGGTTGGCTGGACTCCATCTCTTAAGTCTAATTCATCTGTTCATCTGTTCTGTCTGCCACGCCTGCATGTCCTCAAAATGATTGAAACTGAAACTCGTTACTCCATCAGCATCATGAAAATCACAGGGGCTCCTGGCATTACTGCTAGGAACAAGAAGCTACTAGTAGTCAGGACGCTGCTACTAGTAGACAGGACTAGTCTTGAGGTCTGCAACTCACACTTTGGTGCCCTTGACCCAACCTCCAAAGCCAAAGAAACACGGCCAAGGCTCTCGGAAAGAAACACTGGGTTTCACTGTGGCGGAGTTCCACTGGATCATGATTGCACTCGCCAGGACCGAGCGATTTGGGGATTGACGTGGTTTGTGAATATAAGAAAGACATCAGGTTGGAGGCCATCGCTTCTAGCTTGGAGGCCATCGCTATTAGGTTAAGTATTCTTTGGATTTTCAGTTTCAGGTCCATTCATGTCCATTCCCAAGACGGATACCTAGTCGAAGGGTCCTTTGCACCTCACTTTCCAGCCATGAGGCCGGAAATGTACCTGACATTTCACGTGGAAAAACTCATGTGCAGTCGGTGTTACGAAGAACTTCAAGCTCTGAGTTGCCTTCAGTAGAATGATGTGACTCTTTTGTTGCGATGTACAAGGAATTTGTAACACATGTGTTGAAGTTGTTCGAACAGAACACCAAGCGGGAAAAAGATATCTTTTTTAGAGAACTTTTCAGCTTGGCTGTCTGCATCTGTCTGCATCTCTGGGCACTCATCACCATGCTCCCCACGCAGTTGGTCCATGAAGTCTTTCCACCAAGCAGCTTTCTCCGCCTGCAGAATGCACGGGCCAAACTGAACCAAGGAATACACAACTAAAGGGAACATTAGAATGACAAATGAATGGAAAAAGACCCTCTACAACAAGGCCCCTACCTTCTTTTTGCTCTTTTTCTTTCCAAGCATTCCAGCTTTGTATCGGGCAGAATGAACACATGGTGCCTGTTAATTTTTTGTGCCCTCGGATGATTGATTCGTCCGCAAAGCACTTCACATCGTGTCTTTGGCGAACCAGGGACTCACAGTGGGGGCGTGTCTTTGGCTTGCAGAAGTGGTCCGATGCTGTGCCATTTCGGCATTGGAACAGAAGTGGTCCGATGCTGTGAATGACTAGATTCACTTTGCCCACTCAGAGTGTGTTGACGTAGAACCATGCGCACCTCCGCGGGTGCACCAGTCAACTTGGTGTCGATGACCACGTACTGCAACTTGCTGGCATCCCACACCTTGACAGCACATGACAGCACAGCCAAAGCAATCACTACCCATTGCGAGGTTTGACCGCCGTCCCACAGCTTTCAAAGAAGGGATCTAAAATGATCTATATGGGTGTGTATTTTTTTACCGTAGTCGGGCCGGGAAGCTTGAGTAGGTGGTATGATTCGAGGGTATGATTCGGGGGGATGATTCGAGGGTATGTTTCGAGGTATGATTCGAGGGTATGAATCGCTCAAGTCGAACTTCCAACCACTACATCAGGAAGTACAGGCCAAAAAAATACAAAACCATATAGGCTCTAAACATCTCGAAACCTTCGTGCCTCATTGCGTTTGATGTGGCCCGACTGATAAGAGGCAGTGCGTCGCCCAAACTATGCTTACGCTAGTCGATAACCTGCCGGGATGTCATCCATGTTCACAACCTCAGGCTCCCCTAGTTCAGTCAATACCCCCATTGATCAAAACCCGAACAAGTTCATGCAAGTGTACTGAACATCCTTGGGATATTAGTCCACGGGACTTGTGTGATTCACACCAAGATCCATCACGTCATGAGCGAAAGAACAAGATAGAAAAAGAATCAACCCACCCATTTTATGTTTGGGCCGTCTTGCCTAAAAAAAAAAAAAAACACGTTGCAGCACGACGTGTCTCCAAACGACAAACTCACCCCGGCATGTCTCACCCCGACCATAAACACGCCATGGGGATCCGATCCGGGATAACGCCATGCGTGTCCGGGTGGGATACATCGTCTGGGTCTCGGACTCTGAGTTCCTTGACTGGGTGTGGCAGCTGAATCAGCTTCCCGGTGCGGTCATCCGTCACCTCGACGGCCAGCACAGAAAGGTCGGAGAGCACTGAAAACGAATCCTCCCCAAGCAGATGCATTTTTCGGTGTTTAAAAGGTTTAAAGAGCATTTTCGAGCCAAGATGTTGTGTCCAATTTGCATGGAAGAGGTAGGAAGGAAGTGCAATTGAAGGTGTGGAATTTTCGGATGTCTCGCCTGGTACTGCGATTGGAACGCCTTTGGCGTTGGGAACAGCTGAGGATCCTTGGCAGAAATACAAAGATTCCAGGCATCGGTCCTTGTGCATCATCTTCGTGTGTTCAGTTCTCTGGTCATCAGAAAGTAGAGGTAGATCGATGCAAAACCCTGTTAACGACAGTGCACCAGAATACCTGTCCTTTTCCTTTCCGAATGGACTCTTCAATTGGACGAACCTGCACAAATCATGAATTCTGCCCCGAAAACAAAACGGCACACCGTCCAAACAGGCTGCCATTCCTAGTAGATCCTAGTAGCGTCCTTGCTCCTAGTAGGAGGCCAACCTAATAGCGATGGCCTCCAACCTAATAGCGATGGCCTCCAACCTAAGCCTCCACCCTAGTAGCGTCTTGTTACTAGTAGCAATGCCAGGAGCTACTAGTAGCGTCCTTGTTCAGTCAGAATATGTTTGACAAGATGCGTAGAGCTGGGTGACGCAACCCAGCTGCAGCATACGCCTGAAGACCAATCCGCAGGACTTTTCACTCGTCTCCAGTTTGCTCAACGACAGACCCAACAGAAAGCGCACCTAAAATAATGGAACATGCTGCCCCTCCGAATCTGTCCTATACAGCCGTCTAGCTGGCCCTATGATTCGCGGGTCCTTTTTTCACCTCCGAGCTCATCCCTTTGATCCCGCTTTGACGCCCTAAGCTTGGAGCCCGGCCCGACGACCAGGTGTTTGGCGCCGCGACGGCAGCGACCGAGACGGTGCCTGAACTGTGCCTCGCAGGTGGGCTTCTGTAGCATTTGCTTCCAGGCACTGGGCGAGCGGCCGCCGTGGGCGGTGAAGTTGACCGAGCGTTTCAAACCCGAAAGTCTCCGTCTTCCCGACCAAACGTTCAAAGAGAGTGTGGAGAGAGAGAGAGAGAGACCGACCTAAACGGTCAGTGATCGCCGGCACATCCGCCGTCGCCCTTTTTTGTGCACGGCCTTTTTTTTGAAAGCCAAGGAGCAAGGGCGCTACTAGTAGCTCCTGACATTACTACTACAGTGGTTTCAGAGTAGATGGCACAAATCCCTACATGTCATTTAGATATATTTAGATGGAGGTCCATATAAACCACCCAACTTGGGGTAACTTGTGCCATCGAACCTCTGAACCCACTGTAGTAGCTAAGATGGCTACGAACGGAACAAGCTGAGACGATAGACTCCGATTCCGACCACTCGACGGAGCAGGAAACGGACCGTGGACCTGAAAAGGGAAAAGACGACCAACAAACGCTGAGGAGGCAGCTCGAACTTCATGCCTCTGTACCTCACACGTAGAGTCCACATGTCATTTCTATGATTTGATACAACGGACATCAAATAGAATATGAAATCATGCAAATTGCCGTATGTTCAAAAGGTGTCCAAAAACAACATCCAGGACCCATCCTGACCACCATTTAGGTTGTTAGGATTCGTTGGCTTTGCTTCAGCCCATCCTGACCCACCTTCCTTCGTTCCGTTTCACCCATGCGGCACGTCTCGAGAGCCTCACGACAGACCTGCGCCAAATTCCATTCAGTGGGCGCCTGGCTCGAGGTAGGCTAACAGGCAATTCATCCAGCATGCCCAAGCAGTTCTAAATCCGAAGCAATGTATGTTTAGCAGCATTCTACTGAAGCAAGGGTGCTGAAAGTCAAAGACTGAAAGAGAGCCTGGTAAGGATAGGCCGTTTTCCCTCAACGAAACATCATTTTTCCATAGTGTCAGCAACCCCCCCGTTTGTCGTGCCTTTGGGGGCCAGCGACTTCTTTCAATGTATCGTTTTGACACAGGTTGACCAACGACTTGATCGCAATCGCAGAACAAGCAACTGTTGCGTCCCAGCAGTTTCGGCCTCTGCAAAACAATACTCAATGCAGTCTGCAGGCGACAGATCCTGACAAACAACCAGACTCATGTTCGATTGAACTGGTGAACAAAAGACTTGTAATGTTGGATTGGTCCGGAACCTACCAATGGCCCTGCAACCCAGGAGCAAGGTATATGGGTGTTCTAATTCACAACCAGGCTTTGATGGGGCTCCTGATAGAGTCTGATAGATGGAATGCTTCGACAGAGCTATACGAAGAATGATTCCCTTACGCCTCGAATGTGATCTGGCAGCTGCCGCTGACTAGCTCGCAGCTATCACCCTGCCACAGAACGAAAAAACACTGCAGCACCTGTATAGGAATGTGGCATTCTATTCAAGAAAGGCCTTCCCAAACGTGTTCAAATGCGAATGCACCATAGTGCGTCCGCTCAGCTGCCTTCAGGGTTGCTACAAACTCCTTGTGCTCGCCATTGGGAGATCTTGCTACGATCGCCACAGCCTGACAAAGTAGCAGGAGTACATCTCACGTGGAGTTCAGCTGCACTTGCGCTCCAAGCTGCATTAGTGTGCTTGGAGTGTTTTTCTGCCTTCCTGATGTTTGCACTCAAATGTATCCAGGGCATCGGCAGTGCCCTCATTGAGCTGTGGGAAACTGACCGCCATGACCTGAAGTGAAGATGCAAAGATGTTTCCAAAAAGCGCTGTTTCCAACGGACCTCTTGCCTAACTCTGTTCGTAGATCATGTTTATCATTTATCACATTCGCATCTCTTCTTTCTGAAAGTGCTAAAACGTTTCATCTTCCATGAACTGCCAAATGAAATCTCCCTGCCTTCCGCCGGTCTTCTTCGAGGGTCCGGTGAGAGACCAGGGTCATGTCCTGGACACAAACGAATGGCGTCCGCAGGCGCGGAAACCGATCCAACGGACCCCTTGAGCTGGAAAGAAAGGGTCAAAGACTGACCTGTCCGCTCTTCTATCCAAAGCCCATGGTCGGTGCGATTCTGTTTCAGCATGCTTGTTGCATCACCAATACGACAAAGCGACCAAATAGGAGCAAGGACGCTTCTAGGGGCTCCTGGCCTTACCACTAGTAGCAAGGAAGCTACTAGGGCTCTGGGAATCGCTACTAGGAGCAAGGACGCTGCGACAATCTGTGCACATGGATCACATCTCAACAGGAAGGTCTGGCAGCTCCCGCGGGATTTTGCTAAGCTACTAGTAACAAGGGCATTACTACTAGCAATGCACCTTGTTACTATAGTAGCTATTTGCTATTTGCTACTAGTAATGCCCTTGTTACTAGTAGCGATGCCCTTGTTACTCATTGCTTTCCACGCCTCGTCATCCGCGTTTTTCAGCTGCAAACTTCGGATTGCCTGGCGCCAGCATGCCAGCGATGGGCCTCCTGTGGGTCCCTTGTTCTAGACAGGTCGTGGGTGAAAACCAAAAACCACAACGATGTTTTGGGGTCTTGTGGGGTCAAACTTCGACGCTCCTTGAGCATGGTTTTGGGGCAACATTTGAAGGTGGTCCATGTTCTCCCGTCTAAAAGGCTCATGTTTGTTTGGCTTCTTGACCGTTGAGACCCCGATGTTGCAGTTGTTGCACCGGCTTGTATCCATGCAGCATACACACCCAGTCGGCACATCTGTCCCTCGAACGCTCCGTTCAAGCGTTTGCTGAAGAATTTGCATCCAAATTAGCTTGCACGCATTGGACCGACATTCTACATGTCCGATCTGATCTGTGTCTCTTCAGACACGTGCGAAGTACGGCCAGGCGGAGCTGACCTGCTCGCCCCACCACCGGACCTCTGGGGCCATTGCGCTCATGGCTGGCCCGTCGGGGTCACGAGCTTCGCCCTGAGAGAAGTCACGAGCTTCGTTGTGCCGTTGCGATCGGCCGCTACGAACGGAGCGATCGGACGTTACTAGTAGGTCTTTGATCGCTACTAGGAGCAAGGACACTACTAAGGGCTCCTAGCCTTGCTACTAGGAACAAGGACGCTACTAGGGTGTTCACATCCTTACAGCAAATAGGAACTTTGCCCGGCTTCAAGGACTTTGGCCCAACACGTTGCCCCATCCAGCATGTCTGAGCCTCCTCCACCCCGCCAGCACTGCAACACCTCACAAGTGTGGAGCCTTTGAAGTTGTTTGTGTTGTTTCAAGCTCTTGCTTGAGAGGCTCTCTCATGTGTTGCCTTCTCGATTTCGTGGTGAAACGCGTGCTAACCTGTACTCTAACCTAACCAAAAGAAAGAAAGAAAGAAAGAAAGAAAGGCGTCTACAGGTCTAAAGGTCTCTCTTAAGGTCTGAAGGTCTCCGAGTCTAGTCTTAGAGTCCCGAAGAACTTCGAGTCCTGGACGTCCCCGTGGCGAAGACCTGGCGCCAGCGGACACGTTCCCGCGTTGCGGCGGTATATACAATATGTGGAACTGTCTGTGTACATGAGTCAACAAAGACTGTCAGTCAGAGTTCCTCCAGACTCGTTCTTTGCACACTCTTTACACATCACAATCTCCTTGAACGATACAGGAAGTTGTGTTTCCTATGCCGCGTGCCACTTGCTCTCTCAAGAAAAAGATCACACCTGGACCTATAGAACTGATGAAATCCCCGGATGCATGAGTGTCCAGTTGTCCTTCCAACAAACTCGGAGGGTTTGCCTGTTTCCATTGGTTTCCATGCTTCTTTACCAGGGACTAAGGCGGACTAAGCATGCGCCAAGGCACTCAACTGGGTGCGGGGAAGATCCCGCGGAGGTGTTCACCTCAGATCTGAACTCCGCCTTCTGAGACACCCGTTGGTGCCTGACACCACAGGGACCACAGTGATGGGACCCTCTGAGACGCTCATGTATCTCTTGCCACTTGTGAAGTAGAAATCCTCTTAGACCTGAAGTGATGTCATTCAGACAGGTATGTTCATTCTATCCCCCGTTTGAGAGCACGGCCTGAGCGCTGCGCCCTCTCAGCGCTGAGAACAACTGGATGTTTGAGCTAAACGGTTGCACGAACGCCTTCGTGAGAGTATAGGAATGCCAACCAAAAGTTGAAGTATAACATGCCAAGCAAATGTGTTCACATGTGGACACACTTTGGCTGTTTAACCAGGTGTGTCAATTGCACGCATTGGTGCAGCCTTTTGCACACATGTCAATGTTGTTTGTAAGAAGGAAAACAAAGCCTGAGCCACATGAGATGGAATGAACATGCTCCCAACAGCTACGTATCACCAGCTGCACCTGCAAAAAGGCCTTGCGGACGAGGCGGTCCTTGGCAACTCAAGAGTTTGAACCACACCGCGGAACGCGGAACGCGGAACTCGCTGCTGCCACGGCAAGGTCGCTTGGCGGAGCCCACGCGTTCGGTGCATGTAAGACAAAAGCATTCTTGTTGGAAGTAGCATGCTGTCTTTCCTGTCAAAAGCAGTTTGGTGTTTGCAAACAGCTAAGCTCTGCAGAAAGTCTTCCAAAAGGTCCCAACTACATCAGCAAGCGAGAAGCCAGATGTCTTCTGGCCTATGGCCTGGAAGAAACCGTGGACACGAGGGCGGCTCTGGCCATGGCCATTTGCCAGAATCTCATCCCCGCGAGCAGTGTTATGGATTCCAAGTACAGTAATTATAGCGGCCCCCAAATAGATAGAAACGTGTCCAATAGATGTTGAAAGGGATCGTACTTTTCTCTCTCTCTCTCTCTCTCTTTGGGGGTGTATATTATGCCTATCTGGTCAGTGATCACGCCACGGCCGCCTGCAGATCCCCTTCTGATAGTTCTGCCTTGTGTCCGTCCACGGCGGCCTGAGAACGAGAACATCCCATCGGGCCCTTCCGGATGAGAACATTGTTGGGGAAGACATTCCCAGCGGATCCAATCTATTTGTGACAACGCGAGGCCTTCTTGAAGACCAAGTGCTGGATCAACGCAATGCGCGCCTCCGAGCGCAGCGCAGCGCAGCGCAGCGCACCGATTCGACTGCCAAAGACTGACATGAGCTACCGCCAATCTTGGGCCTTCTTCTTGGAAGTGTGACCCAAAACGCATGCCATTGTCACGTGACGAACGGTGAGACTCTTGTCTGTGCGAGTCTCATTTCTGTAAGGCTTCTGTCCGACAGCCTCCAGGGATGGTGTTCCCACCTTGCCACGAGCCAACAGCTCGGAGATCAACGAGAAAGGCATGTCTTTTCTTCATCTGTCTTCGCTACTTGTTCCAACAACAGTTTGGAGGAGTGGGTGAGTGGGTTAAAATTCGGTAACCCTGTCTCCCCATGGTGAGAGAGATCTACATTAGGGTGGAGGCCATCGCTACTAGTTCTTTGTACTGCCAAAATATTCCCTCGCCTCGACAGCCTCGCCAAAGCGCCTCAAGGCCGCTTCATCAATGGCCTCGCCGATGTTCATCGGAACGACGACCGATGACCGTCCGGCGCCGTTCTTCGGTCCGTCCGTACTCGCTGGGCAGTTGTCCAAGTGGAGAGGGGAGAAGATGGTCAAAACTGCCTTCTCCTTGCTACCCGAGTGGAGTCGCCAGACTCACTGGAGTCACCGGACCAATCACACCACTCCAATCCACTCCTGTATGTCCAAGAGACATACCTAAGCCGGTCATACCTAAGCCAGCAAAGCCTATGGCGTACTATGGCGCTCATTGGCTTTTGCTTCGTCCTCCTCTCGGCCGCCGGCAGAACACCGGAAGAACGGAGGAAACGAAACGACTGCGGTGGCTCCTTATGGAACCGGAATGTCCACTTCCATCCACTTCCCCGTATGACGCAAGGGAGAGAAGGTAGA